GTATTATATAAATACAATAATATTGTATTTATTTTACAATATTAATTATATTTTTTGTTAACAATCAGTAAATATAAACCCACAAATTCTCTGTATTGTGTTTTTATTTATTGCTTGCATTATGCAGTTTTATCTCTGCACTGCTATACATGATACAGGAATATGTCTAGGCATAATATATGCTGTCATCCTGTTTCTGAATTTAAATGCATTAGCTGTTTTCAGTAGTATATGAATGTTTCGTAATTATAATATGAATCAAACGTATTTTGTGATTTTACACATTTTCACATTAACTACATTTTATATGTATTTACAGTTGATTATATAGTACATAATTTTCTTTTTTCTTTTTTTTCAATAGGCAACGCATTTCCAGCAATGGACAAATTTTTTGTTTGTCTTTCAATTTATTCTTTCCTGCTTGTTGGGGTAAGGACACAGGGCAATCAAGTAAGGTGTTTTTAGTGACAGTGTTTCAAATTGCAGATGTCAAATGTAAGACTCACCAATAAGTTATGTTAAAATTTAAAGAAAATTTATTTCTCCCCCCAGGCTTCTGTCTTGTATTTTAATTATTTCTAGAAGTGTAAATAACTGTATCACTACTATTTGTGGTGTTGACATCACAGTAGAGTGATCAAACCCACAACATTCAGCTTTTTACTTTCTGTACTCAGTATCTCTGCTGGCTGTCTCTTCTGATTAACTTCTTTGCAGTTAATAGAATGTAAGCACTTTAGTATAGGAATGCTTCCAGTGTATTCTTTAAGGTACCTAGAAAAGCAAGGGAGACTCAAAAGTAATGAAACAATGCTTTGTTCCTGTTGGAACTGCTGAGTCAGAGGAAGAATAGAAAAAGGGTTGGATTCTGTTCTGCTCCTTCACGTGTCGCCAACCAACAGGTCAAAATAACTTCAAATACTGACATTTGAGAAGCACGAAGAATAGGGATGGCTCTGGTAGAGTCAAAACAGCACAAATTTCATGTGTATTTGTAGTATGCTGTATATGCACATCATTATCTTAAAATACAGATTTTTTTTTTTAGGATTTGGAACAAGTGGGATTGAAGATCCCAGCAAAATACCAATCCAGAAAGTGTTGGAAAATTTCAAAAGTGTTGCTAAACTTCTGAGGTCTCTGGGAGGAATTTATAAAACTTTCTCCTTTACTTAATTTAGGTTTCTCTTGATGTATTCTACTGTCCTATGCAGTCATTACAATTCTGCGCTCACAACGACAGTAGTTGGTGCCATCAAGGTGAGTTATGGGGCAGAAGAGGAAGACAGGAATGCTCAAATAAACAGGGAAGAGCATTCACTCAGCAGTGATCCTGATTATGTTTTGAGCTGGAAACTCAAAATGAAGGCTAACACTAAGACATTGCTTGTGCCAAACAAGGTCACATCACAAAGTCACTTTGTTCTTTTCTACTGAAGCTCAGGTATACTCTAGAAAACAATGTATTGATGTATTTTTATTTTTCCTACAAGAGAAACTTGAACCACTTCTATTGAAAGTTGTAAATCTAACCACATTTCATTAGATACTGTCACCTGCTTCTGTCCTCTATCAGGTTACTCTCAAGGTAGCCACAGGTCAAGGTGGCCTGGTGCAAATCCACTGCAAACCGGTACAGACTAACCCACTTTCACTTTGGACTGAACTTATTTTGTTGCAGCTAATACATAGGGCATTCACAGAGAATAATGGCTAAGCTGTGGTAAGGAATGTATTGCTTTGTGGTTAACCACTTCAGCCTCTGTGTGAGAACTTGTATTCTAGCTGAATGGAGTATTTAATTTTGTTTGTATAAATTCTGGTCAATTTGATCAACACCAAAATATGCATGTCTTGAAAACTGAACTTGGCGTCCTTACAGTCTGTTTTCTCTAATCCAGTTTAATTTAAAACCAGTGCAACTTCCTTTGTGTTGATGAGGCCAGCAGGTCTGAGCAGGGAACATCACTGACAGCCCAAGCACCTTTTTGTAGGCCAGTTTAAAGAGAAGCATGGAGCTAGAAGAGTTTTAGCAAAAGACAAAACTTGTGCCTTTGTGGGTCAAACAATTATCAGAATCATAGGAACTAGATTAGGCACAGGAGTAACAGTCCTCAAGGTGTTCCCTTGCATGGGTGACTAAGGAATACAATTCCACCAGTATAGCAAAATCCACAGAGGAAGATGGTACTTCTCCTTCTACAGTTTCGGGTTTCTTTTCATTTATTTTTTGATTGGTTGGCTAGGTGTTTGTTTTTTGAAGCTGGCAGGATTAATCTAGTAGTTTTCATTCTGTGGCCCTGGAAGTGTTCTTTTAAATTTTATGTGTGTGCATTGAACCACTAAGATGGATCCACACTGTTCTGTTTTCTGCGCAACAGTCATCTTTGAGGCATTTTAAACAGCTTTAAAGTTGGGAAGCACTTTACGATGCTGTGGTCCCCAGCAGAAACTGGTAGAAATTATGTCATTGTCCAGGCTAGCTGCTAAAACATTTGAAACCAACACAGTGTTGTTAAAATGAACACACACTTCTATAGCTTTCCTTCTGTCTATAGGGGACAATTTTCCCAAGACTAGATGGGGGAGGGGTGAGAGGTAGAATCTTTAACTTTAAACTGTGCCTGCCTTGAACTTGAGCCAAGTGCTTTCAATGCACATCTAGTTGGCAAAGTAAGGAGGTAAACATTTCAAAGCAATAATAAAGAGCTTTTTTTGTAACTTTAAAGCATACTTTTTATGCTTGAGAACCCAAAACCTGCTTTTTAGAAATGGGATTTGAAAGGAGCCTTCCAAAGATGAAGAAGTATATTTTCAGAAGGTGGCCATAGCTCCATTTTGCTTAATATCAAATAGCTGATTTTCTGTTTTCTTTCTTTCTTTTTTCTTTTTTTTTTTTTCCCTCCCAGAAAGTCACTGTTGGTATATGGTATATTGCATGCATTTAGAATACATACTGCTTTTATTTGTTTATTTCACTGCTACAATACCCAAAGGCTGTTACCCCATGAGTATAATTTAAATGCTGATTTTAGAGTGGCTAGCAACAGAGTATAGCTATTTCCTTACAAAAATAAATTAATTGTTATCATTTATATTCTTGGAGATGAAAACTGACTTGAATAAATGCAATGTCTTTGTTTCCTTTCAGAATATATCCATTGCTTACATTGGAATGTTGATAGGTGGAGATTACATATTCTCCATGTTGAACTTTATAGGGCTAAATATTTGGTGAGTGGAACTTGGAATAGCCTTTGTTTGTTAAAAGGGGGAAAATTTCTTGCTGAGATACACTTTTGTTTGATTTGGCCCACTTGGGTGAAGTAGTTTTGAAACTACCAACCTGAAGAAGCACTGCCTCAGGATGTAAAGTTCATTACAATTAGTTGTCTTTTCATGTCTGTTTTCAGATATTGAATCTTACTGTGGTAGGATCTCAACTATGGAAATATGCCTGCAGTTTTACTACGTGAGATTGAGTTCATTGGGTTTTTTATGAGCAACAGTTCTGAGCTGTGAGGCTTCCAAGTAAAAGCGAAGTGGTGTGAGAAGTGAGAACACCAACTCAATGAGTTGTGCCTGTTGAATATGAGTTGTTACTTTCTGTATTTGGATGAACAGTTACATCTGTTTGCATGAATCTGTTTGAGAAAGTAGTAATTGATCTTTGTCAGCTCAGAGCTGGTTTCTCAGATGGCTTACATGATCTGAGGCACTCCTGATTTATGCTAGCTGGTGTTCATACTTACTAAATGATATATACAACACCAAGTATTTCTGACACCTCTGTTCTCTTTTGTTTAGTATGGCAGGAGGACTGAGATACTCATTTTTAACTCTAAGAGGAAACAGCAAGCCTACACAACCTGGGGATGAAGAGAATGCACTTCGTGAGTCAAGTAGTTAGCCAAAATGCCTGCCTTGAAAGAGACTGAAGATACAAGTTTGTTTAGCATTGCTGAGAACTTAATAAGTATATGCTGGAACATATTTGGAACAAGGAAGAAGATCTACCTCAGTTGCCAGAGATGTGCACACAACTCATTGCTTCAGAAATACCTTGCACACCATGTGTTGTACATGTGAACAAGTTTAATTTTAGCTTTTTTTTTACATCACAAGCTAATTTATAGGAAGGAATGCCATGAGCAAATCTCAAATTGTAAATTTCTTCATTTACTGTACTTCGGTGCTATTAGTACTCAGAAATATCTGTGAGATCTGTCTCAGTGTCTGCCGGTACTCTTTGAGGCAAAACGCCCTGTAAAGATCATGAGGCTTGATTCACCATTGCCTTATGCCGTAAACAATCTTTGATATTGGTGAACAGGTGAAAGAAGCTAGTGATTCAGAATGATTTCATGTATGGATTTGCTCTTGTGTAAGTGATGTAGAACGTATGGGGCAAAGAGGAGATGTGCTCTCAGGTTGTTTCCTGTGTAAGTATTGACTAAAGAATTCAGGATATAGCCTAGTGTGTTCAGTATACATTGTGTAGACATTCTTTTTCTGTCCTTTCCTCATCCTCAATAACATCATGATGTTCTGCTGAGTTGGCACTGTTGTTACAAGTGAATCCTCATAACTTTGCTGCAGGATCAAGGAGAGTAAGAAATTGAGCGAGGATTTTTTAGTGTTTAAAAAGATTTTTGCATGTGTGAGCCAGTACCAAGCAGGTGATCAGGAGAGCTAACAAAAGCAAATATTTTTGTTTAGTGCTGGTCCAGGGGTTAAAAAAAAAGGCTCAGAATGTGGTAGTCTGAGTTATCATCTGGGACGTTAATGGCACTGCTCTGTATCTTTATTTCCTTCTCTGAAAATACAATTGATAATGCTTACCAGTGTCTCTGAGGATATAGCGTTGATTTTTGAAAACACAATAGAAGCATTGAAGCGTTGGAAGACAGCAGAGTAATTAATCTTGTTGAAGTTCTCAATTCCATGCAAGCATGAGCCAAAAGTTTTTTAGAATAATCAAATCAAAAGAAGATTTTGGAAGACCTTGACATGAAATCAGGAGTGGCTAATGACTTGTTTGATCCCTACTTGAATTAAAATACAGCTAAATCTGAAATTCATTACTTTGTGACTAACATGTGAATGACCAGATCTAAGAAACATGCGAGTAGTTCACGCCAGTGCTTTCAGGGAATGATTGGGCTGCCCACTGCCTGTGTGGACTTAAATGGCAAGGGACCAGCGGTTACAGATGCTAGAATTGGAATTTAAGGTCACAGTCAAAGTGGAAACAGAAGCTTGGGCTATCCAGTTTCACAGCTGGCTAAGAGATGTGACATTCATTTTCTACCTATTAAAGAGCTGGAGAGGGAAACGGTTACTGCAAGTTTTTGAGAGCTTCCATTTTTTTAAGAATTCCATTATACTTAAAAAGCCTTCAATATTTTTTAGTGTATTCTTTTATAGGACTTCTCTTTCTCCAGATTGTCTCTACCTCCAGAATCCTAATTATTGAACCTCAACTCTCTGCAGTGGGACAAGGCATTGGAGGATTTTTGTTAACCACAAAAAGATGGTGAGAGCCATTGCAATACTGGTGGACACACAGTTACACCTGCTAAATAAGGTGTAGTTTCCACAAAGGAAAGGCTACTGGATGCATTTAATTCATTAATATTTTACTGTACTTTTTATAAATAAACAGATACAGATCATGGTTTTAACAAGTTTTTAATTTTTTTGTGTGGGTGGACATGCAGAGATAGTGTTGATTCCAGTAAAATTCTGGTTGAAACTCTGGGAATATGAGCTCAACCAGGCTCAACTCTCATGTTAGAGTTCAGTCAATCAGGATAATGGCTCTTCATTCAGAACCTCAGTAACTATGTCTTTCAATTAACAAGGTAGTAATTTAGAATTTATTTCTCTTAGGGTACATCTGTAGGTAAACTTTTCATACAGATTTCATACTAGCTTAATGAAATATTAAACCACTTGTAAAACTAGATTACTTACTGTGTGAAACTTCATTTTCTTTCTTTTGGGAAAACAGTAAAAAAAGTTAGAAACAATGTCAGTCTTCAGAATACATATTTAAAAGAATTAGTAAGTGGGCTAGTTTTAAGAAAGCTACTACAGCCTGACCAATTAGGAGGACTCTGTGGATGGAGCTCTCTAAACAGAGGAGCAGCCTCATGCTCGCAGGCCCTTGTCCTCATGTGGGACTTCAACCATCCCAATATCTGTTGGAGGGACGGGACAGCCCGGCACAAGCAATCCAGGAGGTTCCTTGATTGTGTGGAAGACAACTTCCTCTTGCAAGTAATAGAGGAACCAACAAGGAGAGGTGCCATGCTTGACCTCGTGCTCACCAACAGGGAGGGGCTGGTTGGGAATGTGACGCTCCAGGGCAGCCTTGGCTGTAGCTACCATGAGATGCTCAAGTTTGAGATCCTCAGGACAGTGAGAAAGGCGTGCAGCAAGCTCACTGCCCTGGACTTCAAGAGAGCAGACTTTGGCCTCTTCAGGAACCTGCTTAGTAAGTTTCCATGGGATATAGTCCTAGAGGGCAGGGGGGCCCAAGACTGCTGCTTGAGATTCAAGGATCACCTGCTCCAGGCTCAGGAGTGTTGTGTCCCAGGACAACTGTACGGTTCTGGTGTCCTCAGAATAAGGACATGGAGCTGTTGGAGCAAGTCCAGGAGAGGCCACAGAGATGACCAGGGGGCTGGAGCACCTCCCGTATGAAGGCAAGCTGAGAAAGTTAGGGCTGTTCAGCCTGGCAAAGAGAAGGCTGCGTGGAGACCTCATAGCAGCCTTCCAGTATCTGAAGGGGGCCTACAAGGGTGCTGGAGAGGGACTCTTTGTCAGGGACTGTAGTGATAGGACAAGGGGTAATGGGTTTAAACTTCAGGTTAAAGCAAGTTCAGGTTAGACATACGAAAGAAGTTCTTTACTGCGAGGACAGTGAGGCACTGGAACAGGTTGCCCAAAGAAGTGGTAAATGCTCCATCCCTGGCGATGTTCAAGGCCAGGCTGGACAGAGCCTTGGGTGACATGGTCTGGTGTGAGGCACCCCTGCCCATGGCAGGGGGGGTGGGA